CATATTTTACTGGAATGTGTCTGGAGTCAATCCAAAACTTTCAAGTTAATTTTTTTGCATAAAATATTAAATTTTCTTTATAATTATGTTGAAATTGAATTCTGTGGACTTAAAATCTGTTTAATTTCATCTAATAGACTGGACAGTAATTGGTCATTTGTACTTTTTCCATCCACACTCAACCTGTTAGGATTCTGTTAAAAACAACAAATTAGTAAAATTTAAATAAAATTTTAACTAATTAACTATTAACTAACTTACCAAATGTTTGACTAGTAAACATATATGATCATCTTGGATTGAGCGACTATAAAGAGAGGCACTAAGTCCAACTTGCTCCACCACTGTAAATATATAAATAATTAAATCATTACTCATTATAACAGAAGTTAAATTTATTTCAACATAAGTTTCATTCAATTTGTAAATATCTAAATTGTTAAAAACTGTAGGAACATTTTTTTTTAATAAATATAATGCACTATAGATAGAATTTTATATAATGTACTTTTTAAGAATCATCATAAAACATATATACTGTGTACACATTAATGCCTACTTAAAATTGCCCATTTATATGACTTTCTTGCTTAAAAATCTAATATTAAATCAAATTCAGAATAATCTTCATATATTTAAATATATGAGTACATGGAATATAATTTATGTACTTTGTTCTTTTAATATATTAAGAAATTTTACATCTAAGAAATGTATTTCCAATTTAGCAATTTACCTCCATAGTAAATGCTATTTTGTAAATAATGTAATTAAAATATTTTTTCCATTTAATGACAAATCACTATAACCAGGACAAAATGAGCTGTATAAGCAATATTGAACTATTTGTCTGAATATTAATATTGCTTAACATTCAGAACAATATATGAATGTTAAACAATATTGTGTGTGTCAGCCACTAAATACGATCATTAAAAAGTTGCAAATTGCAAATCATCATTACAGTGAAAAGAACAAACAAGTACTCCTTCAGCAAAATTAATTATGTTGTAATATCCAGGGTCCGTACAGGTAATTTAATCTGTGATTCCCTGACTTTCCAGGTATGTATGGACCATGAATATCTTTCTAATGTTTGCAACTTTATTAAGTACACCAAATGTTTGTTTCAAGATAATTACTCCTAATGCCAAAAATCTAGTATCAAGTTAAAAAAATAATAGAAAATATTTTATAAATAATTAAAAACTAGAAAAAATAGAAAACTAGAGAAACTATAAAACTAAAACTAGAGTTCAAATTTTTCATTCATTATTATTTATATATAACTTCGTATTACTAATATCCAACGGAGAAACTTAATACTATTCATTCATATTTTTATACAATCCTGCTGTTCAATATACTGCATTTCCTTGATTCTAAGAGTTTTTTATATAATCCATTTTTACTTGTCTGAAATAGATACGAGTCTTACAATTGATGATATCTTACATTTGTAGTCAAAACAACAAGAAGTTGCTATTACGAGTAGATTACGGGGTGATTTAAGCATCAATAATGACTTTTACTGTACTGCTCAACAGTCACATTAGTTCAAATGAGCATTGTTGATGGTGAATCTGTAATTTATACACCTTAACATTAAAAATGCTTCAAGATGACATTATAATACATCATTAAAACAAAAAGTTATTGTATGTACATGAAAATATAGCAACTGAATGTTATCTATTTCATGGCATTTGTAGTCTTTCTAACTTCTTGTTATTGAATAAAACTAATAAAACTGCTTATATTCAAAATTTTTCTCTCTAAAAAGATCTTAAAATTCAGTTTCAAATGATTGCTATGTCTTACAATCCAAGAAATATGGTATATATAAAAGATATTCTAATTTTTTTTCACATAATTTATCATTAAAAGAACTGTCATTTTAAATAAAGCTTTAACATTTTTTAAAAAGTCTATTATAAATTTACATAAACATAGAATAGTAATTGCCATCAAATAACGCTCAAGAACTTTTTCTATCATGTAAAAACAGACATGAAACTTTTTTAAAAAGTCTATTATAAAAAAATCCAGCATTGAGTTGACTAACTTTTCCAGCAACATTTAAACTTGCATCTGTTACAAGATTTTATTTTAAAAACTCTTTATATTGTTAATTATTATAAAATGGTAAAAACCTTATTTCCAGGGTAGAGATGAGTTTTATAAAAAAAATTGTAAATGCTAATAACAAGTAAAATCTTCCTTAAGTCCAACACCACTCAAGACAACTCCCCTCTATCTCCCCACTTCCTTGATCTTCAACCACCAAAATTTTATAGCATCAATTTCCTAATACACAAACCTCTCTGTAATTTCAGAAATTTTGAATAAAAATCACAGGAGTTATTAAGCTTCAAAGTGGGTGAACAGAAATTGTGCCCCCAGACACGAACATCCATGCATACAGGAAAAAAAATCCCCAATTTTTTTTTGCATTTCTTGACATTTCAAGGTCCTGAGTCCAAAAATAAAAAATCTTGGGCAGTTATTTTTGACTGTGCCATACTTTCCCTCTGCTATATATAACAGCAGGAAAAGTAAAATCAGCATTGTAGAACTGTTTAGAATATAAAAAAATGTTTCATTCATAGAAAGCATGCAACTATTATTATTAAACTGTTATAAATGCTTTGTGAACAGTTAACTTTTTTGATATGAAAAATAATTAATAATCATAAAACTTATACAATATCAGAATTTTTACATACCTGTAAAATGGCAATAAAAACATATTTTGGAGAGAATGTGTGAAAATTCTAAATCACCAACAGATTCTAACTGAAATGAAGATTTAACTGTTAATTCTGCACTACTTAAAAGTTCTGCAAAAGTGTCCCTGAAAATATAAACAATTTTACATTACTTTATGTATTTATTTTTATATTACAAGTTATGAATATTTGATATGAATATAGATTATCATTATAAAAATTCTGAAGACATTAAATTCAATTTAAAAAATTAATATCGATGTGAAAAATTTAACCCTACCTAATAATGTCTGTTGTTTATATAACTCAGACCATCAAAGTAAATCATCATTGATTAAAAATGGCCAACAATATTTATTTACATAATAAAACCATATTGAAGAAACAAAAATTGTCTTCATAAGTTCATCACTCACAATCATCAGCAGGGAAAAAAACAGTTTTCATTCAGAGATAACTTTTTATTAGAGGCTATACCTCATAAAATATGTAAAACAGTTAAAAACATCTACAAGCAACAATGTCATTGGCCATCTCTGAGTAAAAACTGATTTATTTTTATGTCTGGTGATTGTAACAAATTTTTTTGTTCCTTCAATATAGTTTTAATATCGCATCATTATTGTTTTTAAAAACTATATTGAAAGTTAAAATGAAGTGATTCATGTACAGTTAAGATTCAACTTTATTCTAACATAACAAATTAGATAATCAAAAAGCAAATACACAATCTAGCAGGCATAAGATGTTTATGGTTTAATAGAAAATGCTGTACCTTTTATAATGTCAAGTTTAAATTATTTCCTATAATAAATACTGAAATTTGTAAAATTATTACTTTCTGTAGTTAAAAAAAACATATTACAAATCTGACTAAAACTAAACTTTATATCTTGTAATCAATCTTTGATAAATAATAATAAACATTTTATTATTATTTAATAGCCTAAAATTTATTATACAGGGTTCAAAGGAAAGTCCATAGACCACCTTTAACTTTTAAACCACTTGTTGTAGCACCACAGAAGTAATTGGCACCTGAATGATAGTGACCATGCATAATTTTTATTGAATGTGATTTTAGCATGACTGTTGAAATACAGAACTAAAGATAAAAACTAACTCAGAAACTAACAGGGTAGGCAAAAAAGTCCAATTACAAAATGATACTTGATTCAGCAGAAACAAAATGATATTTGATTCAGCAGAAAATAACAGTAAACACTAAGAAAACATTGTCAGAAATCAGATTTTATGCCATTTAGCAACAGAGTTATTAAATATGGTAGTTGTATGGTATGGCCACTATAGTCACCTGACTTAATACCAATGGACTTCTTTCAGGGATACCTGAAAAATGAAGAGAGCACTATAGAATCTTCTTCCATAGTAGATCTAAAAAAATGCATCATCAGCATCTGTAATTCTGTAACCCTTACAATGCTGCATACTGTTCTAGATGAAGTTCTATCCAAAATCCATAAGTGTATTGACATTGATGGTGTACACTTTGAACACTGTGTATTTGGCAAGTTAGTTGCACCTGTGATGCACAAACTTTGCATTACATCTGTGTTGTTTTGTGCATAAATGTTATTAAATTTCTTAGTATTTTCTGCTCTTTCCTGTAAGTGTTTCTGCTGAACAAGATATCATTTTGTACTAAGTGAGCAAAGCTATTTCTTTTTGTAATTGGACTTTTTTTTGCCTATCTCTGTTAGTTACCAAGTTAGTTTTCTTTACTTTAGTGCCCCTGCTGAAAAAATACTGAAGTTGCATTCAATGGACTGCATATGGTCACTCTCCTACAGGTGCCAATTACTTCCATTGCACTATAACAGATGGTTTAAAGTTATTGGGATGAACTGATTTTTCTTTGAATCCTGTATATCTTAATAAGGAATATGCAATCTAACATGATAAATTATATCAATAATAGAGAAGTATCACCTATCACTAAATATGTTTTAATTTTGTGTTTTTAAATTTTGTAATTTTAAATGTGTTTTAATTTTTTTTAAATTCATATCAGTGATTTCTTTTTTTTTATTTAAAAAATTTAATTTACTAATCTTTGTGGAAGAATTTCTAAATTATGTCAGAAATAATTTAAATAATAATAATTTTATAACAGATAATTCAAATAATGATATAATGAAACATTCTTAGAGGTTTGTTGATGCCCTTATCAATTTCAAGTTTTCCTTTCAGCAAAATTAAGAATTTTCTGAAGTTAAAAAACAATTAGTAGTAAAGAATCATCATCAACTTCCTAGACTATCATAATCTTTATTTCATAACACATTGTAATAAAGTAAAAACCAAAAAAGTTACATAAACATCTAAATATTGTCTTATTTATTGTGAATAGTAAAAGAGTTCCGAATATTTCAGAACATTTTTACTTGTTTTTATTTATAGCATTTAAGTGAAATAAGATGTTTATGTGTTACATCTTATTTCACTTTAAGTGTAACTATGTTTTAGTTTTTATTCTCTTATAAAAAAATAATTCTACTTTGTTAAATAAATTCACATTTTATTTCAATACATAATAAATAAAATTTACTAACCTTTTATACGTTGTCCCAATTAAATATGATGACACAGGAAGATGTAATTTAAATTCTAATTTTTCATGAGTTGATCCTATTTCAGTCTTCAATTATAATAAATTTAATCATATTAGTTTGTTTTTCTCATAACCATAAGATATGTAATTATGTATAAAATAAATTCTAAATTAAGTGAACAAAATAAAACAAATATCGCCAAATATAAATAGAAAAAAATCTAAACACACTAAATTTTATAAAATTCTAACAAAAATTTATTGATTCTCAATTAAGTGTTCTTATCAATTTCAACTTAAACTTATTTAGGTTTGAAATTATTAAAATAATTTTCAACATATGATTTTAGAACAAGATAAAAATAAAGCTAAAAATCTTTTCATTTTATAAGTTTTTAATTATTTTAATAATTAAGTAACATTTAAAGACAAAAATTTTTAAATTTAAAATTGTGCAAGGATAAACATCTTATTCACAAACAGCATTATATATATGATATGAGTAATTGCTTTGATTGTCATAAAAATTATTCCTACTATGAATATATACTGAATATCCACTGAGACAAAACATTCTTAGAAATAGAAAAGATAACACTACAGAAGGAAATATATAGATTATATGTCATTATATACAATCTATATATTTCATCAAATTAACAATGTATTCTATATTCATCAAGAATTTATGTCAGTAAGAAAATGAGTTGGACACAGATTACATAGTTCCTTAACTACTATCATAACATATCTTATACAATACTTGCACTTATACGAATATAAAAAATTTTTCTATCTTATAACTTAATTTTCAACCTCTCAAGAAACATGTGCCAACAATAACAATGTGTCAATAGATAATCATAATCATTTCTATAATCTCATTATTCAGAGGAGTCTTTATTACATGGTAGCATACATATGTAATTTTGAAATTTTTCTCTGAAAAAATTTTTAATACCTATCAAATAAAATTAAAATGCTACTTGTTTGTTATAATTTACTAACATTTGTTTTTCATTTATATGCCATGTAAATAAGAATAACTATTATTGCATTAATGTTTAATTTTTCAGAAAAAAATTTTTTGGATGACTTTTTGTTCAAATTATTAGTTTTTAAATTATTAATTACTGCTTAATATTTTTGATTTATATAACATTTAATTTACATATTCAACATTATTCAATATGTAATAATTATACAGAGGGGATGCAAAAGTAGGTATACAGTTGTTGTTTTGAAAACAAGCTTAGTCAAACCAATCTGATAGCATGCTCCACAAAAGCGAATCTAATATTAATTTTGTTTAAAATAAATTTTTATGAATTCTTGGAATCAAGTAGTTGTTCAGAAGAATTTTTCACTGAATATACAGTAAGGGATATGGTTTATAGATTCCAGAGGATCTGGGTAGTTTTTACTATAGCTTACAGTGACTGTAAATGAAAATGTTCAGTTCCCTTTTGCACATGTGTGTGGACATGCACAATAAATGGATTAATGGAACACATCATCTGAGAGACACAGAAAAGTCCTACCATAAGCACTTCACTACTATAGTGGAGCATGCTAAAAAACATACAGGGAGAAAAAAACATTTATTTTTATGTACAAACTAGCTGTTACATGCGACTTCGCCCGCANATCTTTAAATATACTTATATATTTAAAGATCGTGTAACAAGTATATATAATATACTTGTGGCCCAAAACTCCATGACTTCTTCCAATGTGGCCCAGAGAAACAAAAAGATTGGACTTTCCTGTTTTAAAACAATGATCTAAAATACTTCTAAAACTATTTTACATTTTAAGAATAATTATTTTTCATGAATTATCAACTCAGAATTATTATTATGAGTACTATCTGTATTTCTTATAAATTTTTCATATTTACACTATGATGTTATAGTTACAAAGAAAAAGCTTTTGCTAAAAAACAAATTTTAATTATTTAGTTTTTAATTCATTAATTTATTTTTATTCTAAACAAGTCAATACTTACATTTCGAACCATCTTTGTATTTAATGTATCTAAAACATTAAATTCTAATTCCTTTATATGGCAATCACTTAAATTATTAAAAATTACAGAAACTACTATCTCATTTCGTACATTCTGCAGAGTTCGAATCTCGTAAGTCTAAAAAAATAGCAATTGTTATTTTAACTTAAAACATTTTTAAACAAAAAACAAAAATATTAATTTTCATAATAAATAAAATTCTTACCATTTTAATATTTTTATCTTCTCCTAATAATTTATAATTAGAAGGTAGCTGAAATATTTCAATATTTTAAATTTCTTTGCATCTTAAAAATTTCATTTTCTTTTTTTCTAATAAATATGATATCAATTTTTAATCTGTACAATTTTTAATACAGTAGAAATTCATTAAGAATAGCTAATAATCCATCCACAAATTGGAATTTGTTTGGACACACAATACCCTGAAGATTGAAAGAAAAATTGCAAAGTGTAATCATTTATGTTTCTATACATCAGGAGGTCATCCATGAGATCATGAGTGATATTATCAAGAAAAATAACTCATTTTATTACAGAACCTTGTTTGTGTCAGATTAAATGTTTTCACTGGAGCTTTCCTGTGCCTAATACATGTTTACGTCATAAATTTTAAATAAGACGGTAAACTCTTTTAGGATCAGACTTCATCACACTGTTCATTAATGTTTCTGAAGGTTTTTAAACAATCTTAACATAGTTGTGTACTGTATCATTTTCAGACTGATTAGAGTCTGATATTACAAGTCTGAGAAAGTAAATCAGAAATATACAGCTGCATGCACTGATATAAAATGAACAATAATGTCTGCAACATTCATATTGCATACAACTTATCAAATTTTGCAAAAATACAAAAAGTTTGGTAATCTGACACTACTCTGGTTCCACAGATGCTGAATTAACAAACTTCTACTATATTAAATTTTAAATAAAAATTTAATTCTAAACAAAATAAAATTATTTTCTTAATTTAATATATGATAATTAATCCTAAATATATATTTTTAAATCTATATTTTGTTAATGTATCTAGTTAATTAAGAATTCAAAATTTTTCTAAATTGATTTGTTTTAAATAATATATACTAATACAATTTGAAAAGAAAGAGCTTTTAATTTGTATTATTATGTAAGATAATGATTATATTATATAATTTATTAGATTTTATGAAATTTTAAGATTTTAATTTTAATACATTTCATCAGTAACTTACAGGCATAGAAGGCGTAAGAGGAGTCTGTGAAATGCTAGTTCCAGGTTCTTTGGATGGTGTTGCTATTCCTGGAGCTTCTTCATATTCTGTTTTATCTTTTGGTTGATCCTCTTGTAATAAGGTATTACCATGGTGAGTTCTTTGTCGCTTTTTCTTTTCTTTTTTTGACTTCTTTTCTTTCTGTTTTTCTTTCTCCCACTTTTTCTTTTTGTTTTTCTGAAAATACAATTTATTTAATTACATTTGATTAAAATCCTTGATTGATTGTTATGATTTTACTGGCATAAAAACTGAAAATGTCATGCTATGTTAAGACAAAGTAGAAACAATAAAAGTCTATATAAAATACAGTAAATAAGCAGATAAATTAAAGGAAAAATAGCTAAATGTTAATGCAAAAAACTTGAAATTATGATGATAAAGGAACTAGAAAAAATATAATAAAATGAGAAGAAGTGAATAACTCATTATAAAATCACACTGCTGGTTTATGTTACCAGCTTAGAGGTATGAAGGAGTACATGCCAAGACTTGATATTTGGCACAGAGAATTAGGTGCCCAAATCATTTGCGCATAAAAAAATCCAGACTTGTAGGTAGTCAGGGGACCGAGAACTGAGTCAAAATAAAATACTAAATGGTGACCCTCTTATACAAACAAGCATCTCATCCCAACAAAGTCAGGTGGGGGAGAGTACCATCCACAGTCATTGTAAGAAGTGAAGTCAGACCTTAGGACTGAACACATAGTTTCTTTTATGTTAAATAAAATTTGTAATCTAATTTTGTAAATTTGGGAGTGCTTCAAATATGACATTAAAACAGGGTTTTATGTCGTTAAAAGTAGGTTATTTAACATTATCTAGTATAGTAAAACCGTGGGACCGATAAAAATTTGACATTATATTAGGGTTGTCATTACATCCGATGACGTTATAATCGGGTTAAATTGTATATTGTTTGTGCAAAATAAAAAAATAATTTCAGATGATACAATAGCCACGATTATTTTTTTTCAAAAACAGGAAATTTTCGTTACGCATAGACAAAAATTCAACCCGGGCAGACACGCAATGGAGAGAAATTTTGAAATTTGATAGGTTAATTTCATTGAAAATACATCGCTTAGTAGCGAGTCTCCAAGACATAGTCTTGTCCCAAATACGTTTTTGCCGTTTTACTTGTTTCCATGTTACATCTACAATGAAATCAAATCTTTGAACATGAAAAAGTATGATTTGCAAAATGCTCCTATTTCTTTGATTCTAAGACACCATTGATTGTAAGATTGTGCTATCAGTTTAAAATTAAAAGTGGGTAAAAACATGTTTAAAAGTTACTTTAAAGTTCTATAGATAAATTTGAAAATGTCATCTGTAACTTTTATTTGGAATGAAATGCTAAAAAATGAACACAATTTATTCATTCACCCCTAAAGCTATTTTGAATATATACTTTCATTTCAAAGCAAAATTATATTATAATCTTTTTGAAAACATTTTAACTAGCAGATACAGTCTAAATTTTAGTTGAATTCAACACCTATAGTATTATATAATCTGAAATGACAAGCACGAACAAACAGAAAGAAGATTGTTCTCTTCAAAACTTTGATAGTCAAAACTATTAAAATCATTCTACAGACATTCTAAGTATAAAATGTTATATGAAAAAACTGGCAAATATGTTATATATAACATGCTCATATTATTTACCTCATTCTTTTTATTTTTAGCTGCAACACTATTTTCTTCAATCAACTGATCCTCAATTCTACCATTTTGTTCTGATATTTCTATTACTTTTATATTTTCTATATCTTCAGTTTTATTTTGTTCAATGTTTTTATTCTTTTTCATTTTTTCTTTCTGATAAATAAAACATACAATTAAAGTAATTATATAATTTTTATTCAAACATACATTATGAATTCTTAAAAAGCTGAAAATTGTCATTTTTATTTTTATTTTTGACAGATCTTAACATTAAAACATTATAATTAATATTACAAATGTTCTATCTCCTTTTGAAACAATTCAAATTGTACAGTACACTGTAATCCTAAATAGATTTAACTTTTATATAAATTATTTATAATTATAATATGCATGATGTCAAGCTATAAAATAATAGTAATTAAAATAGTACTGGTTTAATTTTTTCTATAATTAAAATAAATATAATTTAGTTCAAGAGAACAAAATTTTATACCTTTCCAACTTTATGTTGTTTCCCAGATTCCCTTTCTTTCTTTTTTTTAATTTTATTCTTTTCATTCTTCTCTTCAACTTTATTAGGCATTACAATATGGTGTGTTCGTACAGGTAGTTGTTCATCATCTCGAAGAGGTCTAAATAAGTATAAAATAGTTAAATGAAGTTTCTGTAGAAATGCAATTTAGTTTATTCATAGTCAGAAGCTAATAATATTAATAGTATCTCATAATGTTTAATCAAGAATAAATTTTGTATGCTATGAAACATTCCTAAATTATTAGGATCTATAAGTACAATATATCCATCATATAAAACTATGTAATAAATATAGCATTATTTTATACTTTACTAGCTTACCCGTTGCACATTGCTGCGATCTCAGAAGAAAGGAAATTCAAGCAAACTCGTTATGATAAAATTCAATTTACATTTTATTATTTTTATTGAAACTTATTATTATTATTCATTTTCATCGGTAAAACATTTCAAAGTGTCGTTTCAATTCTATTTATTTATTGGAGTGCTTGTGGATACACGATATTTTTTGTTTTTCCGTCTGGTGTGTACACGAATAAATCAGAAGGTTT